CCCGCAGCCATCAAGTGGATTCTGCCTTATAGCAACCCTATAGAGGGCTTCCAAGGCTGTAAATCTTTATGGGACGACAGCGTAATCTTCCTCTCATTGAGGGCTAGTGGGTTTGAACTGCCCACCTTGTAGTTAGCAGTCTACTGCATACCCCACAGTGCTGCCAGGGTTTCTTGGAAAGGATATCCAAACCCAAAACCAAACTCACTGCCACTGAGTCAGGGCAGGCCCATGTTAACCCTAGAGGACAGGATAGAACTGCCCGAGTTTCCGAGACTGTAACTCCTCAGACAGTCTTCCGGTCCTGCCTCTTCCATTGGCTATCCAGAGATGGCCTATCTGTGCGTATTTTTCAAAATAAAGGAATTGAAAAGAGGATTCCTCCAGGCCCCTTCCCTTCCCCCATGCCTTTTCTTAACTTTCAATGTTTGGACACGTCCAGGAGACCAGTCCCTGGAGAAGGACCTCATGCTTGGTCAAGTGGAGGGGCAGCGAAAAAGGAGGCAGACCCCTGGACAAGGTGGAGTGACACTTGGGTTGCGACCACAAACAACTGTGAGGATGGTGCAGGACCAGGCAGTGTCTCGCTCTGTTGTTTATAGGGCCGCCATGAGCTTGAACTGACCCCATGGCACCTGATAACAAGGGTTAGCTATACAGCATGGAAGGTTCTTAACTCTCTGATGTACAGCTTTACAGGAGGTAGTTCAAGATGCAATACAACTTTTTCTTTGAGATAAACTACCACCATCACCACTACCAGCCTCCTTCCACCCCCATCGCCACAGGAAAACCCCACCCAAGTCATCACAATCAGCTGTTCTTCCTCCTGGGCAGAATCAGGGCCAAATGCTGCCTGTTCTTACTTGGGAAGGATCCGTGAAAAAGAAGAGAAGCTTCCACGAGACGGACCGACACAGCGGCCACAACAAATGGGCATGAACATAGCGTTCAATGATGGAGAGGCTGACGCCAGACTGGACAGTGTTGGGTTCTGGCCGACAAATGG